TAGGGTGATAAACTGAGAGAGAGGCGTGTATAGGTAATATACTGAGAGAGAGGCGCGTTTAGGGTGATAAAATGAGATAGAGGCATCCATAGGGTGATAAACTGAGAGAGAGGCGTGTATAGGGTGATAAACTGAGAGAGAGGCATCCATAGGGTGATAAACTGAGAGAGAGGCATGTATAGGGTGATAAACTGATAGACAATCATTGTGTATGATAGGAAGAAGAACTGTGTAGATGATCTTATGATGACACAGATCACCGTAACTGTATACTGGATTGTTGGCCTTTGGTACAGAAGGAAGCAGCATAGTTGGCACTAAACTTGACCCCAACAATAAAGTAAGGTGGCTGGGTGGACCGGAGTGTAGAGTACAGGGAGAACTTTAGGATAAGAGAGGGGAACTACAGATACACCCTCAGATATAGAGTAAATTATGTCTTTTTCTCTAACAGAAAGAAAACGTTATTCCTCTGTCGCAAGAGAACATAGTGAAGACATAACCAGATCATTATCCATAAAACGCACGATGTATATATTTACCTTCATTTCCACGTCACCTCTTGTGCTGCCCTTTCCCTTCTCCCTTCCACCTCCCTTTGCTCCCAACACCTGCAGTTGCCTCCTGATCCCCATCCTCCACTCACAGTCAATTACGTGAGGTAGCTCCACCCACCTTCATGATGGTTGGTTGGTCGAAGGGTCGTCAAGGGTATATAGAGCGGTGCACTCCCTCAGCAGGTCCACATCTTTGCCAGTATTAGCTCTCATACTGACCCTTCACCCAACCCAGTCAACCTTGATCAGGTGAGCCACAACTGTGAAGCAATGAAGGTAGTTTATAGGAAGTGAGGCGACGCACAGGTCTAGCCACATTGATAACTGAGGCGATTTCACTCAAGGGAAGAACTTCAAACTGACTATCAAAGTTTGTAAGACAAGCTAGCTGAGACAGTCTGAAGTTAGCTGAGACCCTCTGAAGTTAACTGAAACACTCTGAAGTTAGCTTAGACAGTCTAAAGTTAGCTGAGACACTCTGAAGTTAGCTGAGATAATCTGAAGTTAGCTGAGACAGTCTGAAATTAGCTGAGACAGTCTGAAATTAGCTGAGACAGTCTGAATCTAGATGGTAAAGTCTGATGCTAGATGAGAGTCTTAAGTAGCTGAGACAGTCTTAAGCTGTCTGAGACAGTCTGAAGCTAGCTGAGACAGACTGAAGCTAGCTTAGACAGTCTCTGACTAATAAATTTGAGGTTTATTACAACGTCAACGCTGGTGTATATCTCCAGCAAGTTGATGGACTCTGTCGTCTGATTCCTTTACCAACTGTGAATGTTTAGAACAAGTGAATTAGAGCTCTAAGTTGTTGAGCACACAAATATTAGTTCAATACCCATGAATGAAGGTCTTTTGAGATGTTTCGACTTGATCTTACTCCTGTAGCTAATCTAGAAGAACTATTAGGATTGGAAGTATTAGGAGAAATATTTGGTGGCCAGGGGATTAGTTCAGGATATGGTAAATCAGGGGGAAATGAAGGAAAGTGGGAGAATGACAAATTAAGGTTGAATGGTGTACTTGAATAGTAACTTCTAGCTCTCTGGCCTTGGATTGTATTCCTGTTTTTCAGTAGCCAATATTCAGAGTAGAAATGACGACCTCTGACCAGGCTCTCTTCTGGAGCTGGCTGGAGCATCGTATATTTTATCTTTTTTATCTTAATAAATGTAGAAAGAAGGGCTGTAGAGGCTGGGGATTATCTTCGTTGGTCACTCACATCTGTTTATGAGCTTTATTTTTATGTTTTTAAGAAGTGAAAGAAAGTGAATACACACATTAGAGATGTAAGATCCAACTTTGTACTCAGGTTAACGAGAGGGTAGTCTTATTTTTTTTAATGAAGTTTGTGTACCTGTGTTTAATTGACAGTTTGTTTTATAAGATTCTATTTGTTAAACCTGGCTATCTCACAGCTAAATATGTTACATTATTCTCCGTGTTTTATGATTATTAGTTATATCTTGGTACTGGTGGTGGGGAGAATGTACCTGTATAACCCTGACTGCCGCAGTTTGTCCTCCCTGACACGGGTAGCCAGCTCCCACAATCGCCGGTTGTGATATCTCAGTCTGGGAAGATTTTTGGTTCTTGCCTGGACCACCTGGGGGTCCATGGTCAACAGTAATACCACGGAGCACAACCTTGGGACCAGTGTAACATGTGTGTAAGTTTCAGGTCTCTAACAGCTTCCGTTTTGGAGCTATAGCTGGGACAAACACATCTCCAAGTGTAGTTTGTCTGATCTAATTTCTTGATTGGTCACATTTGGGATTCCCCTTTACAGTACAGGGCGTCCTCGCTTAATGTTGGGGATACATTCCTGATAACGCCTCGTTAAGCGAAACAACGTTAAGCGGATCAATTTTCCCCATAAGAAATAGATAAAATACGAGAACGTTCCTGAGCCTCTCTTTGACCCATGAAAAAGTTACATATACAGAAAAGCATTGCCATCTCTAAAGAGAATAGTATATAGAACTACAGTACTAATTTTGTATTGGTACTCACCGTTGGGCGGAGGTGGTAGAGCGAGTGTGTGGTGAGTAGTGGAGCGAACTTTTTTAAGTTTAACAAATTTATTAGCAAAGCTTGTAGTACAGTTTGCCTATTCTGAGTAATTCAGTCAGGTCTTGACACTGAGGGTGGTATCACTTCTCACTGCCACGCAGGACAGACGTTCATACACAAAGAAATACATCATATATGTATAGAGCAGGGATGGCCAACCTCCGGCGCATGCGCCAAACGTGGCTCATTGGATGATTAGAAGTGGCGCATTGCATCCCTGTGATAATAATAAAGTAAGGCAGTAAGCCTACTCATTATTTTTAGCGATTCTATTATTTCGTGCACAGCATCAGACTGAAATAGAAGGAAAACTGAAGCTTCTGCTTGGGTCTGAGTTATGGAAAGAATATGTGACTAAGAAAAAGGAAGAATTCAGAAGAAGACAAAATGTATTTGTTAAAAAAAGTTGTGAAAGTTTGTCGATGACAGAAGCGTCCTATGAAATTGCTTTAGCGTTGGCGAAAAAAAGGAAGTCTTTCTCTGATGGAGAAGGTTAGATTCATGTGCGTAATGTCACTGTTCACTGCCATGCAGAGCAGAGGTTCGTACACAAAGAAATGCATCATATTCATTGACAGTATATGTATATATAGGTCAGATTCATGTGGGTAATGTCACTCTTCACTGCCATGCAGGACAGTGGTTCGTACACAAAGAAATAAAGAAATACATCATATTCATTAGCAGTATATATAGGTCAGTGGTTCACATACATTGGAGTCATATTCTAAATTGAAGACTAATCAGTGTGGGCTAGCAAATTTAGAATAAACAGCAAGAATGTCCTCAAGCACCCCCAATTCAATGTAGTAATTACAAAGTTCAAGATACAATAAGTCAGGTGGCCTGAAGTCTTTGACAGTGTCACATTCAATAATATAATGTTCAAGTGTATGCTTTAAAGGTTTAACACAAAGTTTACATGCTGAGTGTTCCGGTATGGGTACAGCATTACTAACTTGCCAGATGTGTCTGTATCCTAGCCTAATTCTGGCCACGACTATGTCACATTGTCTGGTTTTGTCCTTATGCTGGCCATACCGGTACCTCTTGTCACAAAATTTGTCATATTTACTAATGCTACTGTAAGAACGCGCAACACAAGCTGCGACCCTTTAAGGGCTTGGCACTCTTACAACAATACTCTGACCTGGTAGCGAGACACGAGAGGAAGGCCCATGGGTACATGTAATTATAGTATTGAGCATTAGGGAAAGAACAACTGTGAATACTATAGGTGAATCATAGACCCAACATACAAATACAATGTTTATTGAAACACAAAAATGGTTACAGAAAAGACGCTGTATGCACCCAAAATAGGAACTCCTGGTACCATGCCCTCAGGCTTAAGTTACTTGCACCACTACTGGGTGTACACACACCAAAACACACAAACTCTTACAGCACCTTACTACCATCAAAACCAGTGGCACTTGTCATTACAACACTCAATACCCCAGGGGCAATACTCCAGCAGCCGCCATGGGAGTCTCATCACCAAGTGACACCTTCCAACAAACTCCGATAATTCCGGTGGAATAACACCACCACACCAATAGCCCTACTGAGTTATGAACTGTACTCATCCACCAAAGATGGGGCTGGAAGTTGTTTGTGGTGCTTGACGATCCGGGTTCACCACGTGGGCATAGTGTTACGGGAATACTGACCAGCTATGGGGCCCATAGGTGGTAGTGGAGCTTCTGACGGTCGTGGTTCACAGGGATAACCGATTCTACTGGACCTCAGACATCTCCCCAAACTAGTGGATGAGTCATCCACGCTACAGGCACGGCTTAGGCTGCGATAGGGACCTGTAGGTGGGAAGCGTGGCGGCTTACTCACTGTTGATAACGAACCTCAACATTTCAAAGGGACATTAAGGACATAAAATACTTCACTCAAAGCACATTAACTACGTTCCTGTAACACTTGCACAATCAAACTATTAATTAGGTCAAATCACTTAAAATGGCGAATTACAACACGAAGAAGGTGGAATGACCTACCTGTGGGTGGGAAGCGTGGCGGCTTACTGATTTGAAAACGAACCACCGCCTTCCACCCACGCCAAAGTCACGGATTCCACCTACTTAACCATTTCACTGAATCACGTTACTGTAACACTCTGACGATTGAAACTGAGACTACGAACTCAGTTTCATTCCCTACTATTATCTTTACAAACAATGCTCTGACTGAGCTATCAATAGCAAGAATTAAATTGATCACAAAAGGTTGGATGGCAATCCCGTCCCAACAGGCAACGCCTTACTACAAACGCGAGGACCAGATTTCAAAGTTCCCTTTCAGGAATATTAATTAATTCCTTAGATAACCTACCTACCATAATTTCACTATGATTATCAGAGTCTCTGCTATTCATAGGTGAAAAAAGGAAGGTTTACAGGGTCTCGGTAGCAGAAAGAGTTTACAACTTCGGTCAACAAACATAAGACATCTCGATGACGTCATCAAGTAAACAGAGAGAACGAAGGACATTTCCACTGGAGGACTCAGAAGATTTTGTGGAAGTGTAAGCGTAATATGAATCCTTAGGTTTCAACAGGCTAGCCGTCATTTCGATCATGACACTGCAACTGCCAGGTCTCTCAGCATTTCTCACTTCTTCTAGATCAGAGTTCATGAATCTGACTTGAATGTTTTTAATTACAGCATTGGGCAGGCCAAGGTCACTGTCAACATTTTCTTTTTTACATGCCTCATTGGCCAGTCTATCAGCACGGTCATGATACCTGATTCCAACATGGTACGGGATCCACACAAATTCAATACGGGCTGTTCTTTGATTTCAAAGCACTTTGAGAGTCACAGAATATCACCCCACCTCCATTTTCTTTAAGGTAGTCTGTGGCTAAGTAGATTCCAGTTAGTTCAGTTTGTGTTGTGCCGGCCCAGTTGTTCAGCCTTTGCTTGTTTGACACTATCATCTCTTTTTCTTTATATATTACAATTGCACAGTCTGATCTACCTGTGTTTGTCTGCACAGAACCATCAGTAAAAGTATAACATTCACTTGATTTATTACTCTCTATGTGTCTGTTAATAGTTTCTAGTGTGACACATCTCACCACATCGGTGTTTAACATTTGCTTGCTACCATCAGGAGTGTAATTAATAGGAACTGATATATCCAGCCAAGGAGGAATAGCATT